AGCGGTTTGGCGCCTGCCTTTGGCCCAGGGGGCGATCCTGGAGACCCGGGATCGAATCCCACGTCGGGCTCCCGGTGCATGGAGCCTGCTTCTCCCTCTGCCTGTGTCTCTGCCTCTCTCTCTCTCTCTCACTGTGTGCCTATCATAAATAAAAATAAGAAAAATAGAATTAAAAAAAAAAAAGATCCCTGCACCCCTGTGTTCATTGCAGCATTACTGACAATGGCTAAGGTGTGGAAGCAGCCCGTGTCCATTGAAAGACGAATGAATAAAGAAGACGAGGTTTTTATATGATGAAACATTACACAGGTATTAAAAAATTAAACCTTGCCATCCATGACAACGTGGGTAACATAGAGAGTGTTATGCTAAATGAAATAAATCAGAAAAAGAGAAAGACTGTATGATTTCACTCATATGTGGAATCTAAAAAACAAAACAAGCAAATAAAAAGCAGAATCAGACCCAATAGTGCAGAGAACAAACTGATGGTTGTCAGAGGGGAGGCAGGTGGGGGATGAACAGAGGGCAGTCCGATCCAGGGTTCCAGTTATGGAGGAACGAATCACAGAAATGAGAGGCAAGGCAGAGCGAATACAGTCAATGGCATTGTTTTTTTTAAAAAATATTTTTATTTATTTATGAGAGACATAGAGAGGCAGAGGGAGAAGCAAGCTCTTCACAGGGAGCCTGAATCAGAACTCGATCCCAGGACCCCGAGATCAAGCCCTGAGCCGGAAGCAGACGCTCAACTGTTGAGCCACCCGGGCGTCCCCAATGACATTGCTGTAGTGTTGTATGGTGACAGATGGCAGCTACATTTATGGTGAGCACGGCGTAACACAGCCTTGTTGAATCACTGTGTTGTACACTTGAGACTAATCTAACATTGTATGTCAATGTACCTCAATTTAAAAAACCAATCAGGGCAGCCCGGGTGGCTCAGCGGTTCAGCGCCGCCTTCAGCCCAGGGCCTGGTCCTGGAGACCTGGGATCGAGTCCCACGTCAGTCTCCCTGCATGGAGCCTGCTTCTCCCTCTGCCTGTGTCTCTGCCTCTCTCTCTCTCTCTCTCTCTCTCTTGAACAAATAAAATCTTAAAAAAAACAAACAAACAGGGATGCCTGGGTGGCTCAGCGGTTGGGTGTCTCTCTTCAGCCGAGGACGTGACCCTGGAGACCTGGGATTGAGTCCCACATTGGGCTCCCTGCATGGAGCCTCCTTCTCCATCCGTCTGTGTCTCTGCCTTTCTCTCTGTGTCTCTCATGAATAAATAAATAAAATATTTTAAATTAAAAAAATCTTTAAAAAAACAATCAAAATAATATTCTATATTAACAGAATGAAGAAAAAACACCATGTGTTCATCTCAATTACTGCAGAAAAGCATTTGACAAAATCCTTTCATGATAAAAACACACACACAAAAACTAGAAATAGAAGGGAGGTTCCTCAACCTAATTAAGGACATCTATGGACAATCACAGCTGACATTTAACCAAGTAGGTACAAGACTTGTATACTGAAAACTATAAAATACTGCTGAAAGGAAACAAAGAAGTGTAAAGAAATGAAATCCATTCCGTTGTGCACAGATTTGAATTCTTAATACGGTTAAGACGGCAATACTGACTAAATTTATCTGCAGTTTCAGTGCACCCGCTATTGAAATTCCTACTGCATTTTTTTTTTTTTTTCAGAAATGGACAAGCTGATCCTGAAATTCAGAGGCCAATTGTCAGACCAACAATCTTGAAAAAGCGGAATAAAGTCAGGGGCTCACATTTCGTGGTTTCAAAGCTTACTAGGAAGCTACCGTAATCAAGACAGTGCGGCCCTGGCCCGAGGACAGACATACAGGCCCGCGGGACAGAGTTCAGAGTCCAGCCATAAACCCACACTGACGGCGAGCTGACCTTCAGCCAGGGCGCCAACACCTTTCCACACACGGTGCTAACCGAGATCCGCCCGGAAAGGAATGAAGTCGGACCTCCGTCTTACACACTATACACAAATTAACTCAAAATGGGCCCAAGACCCAACATGAGAGCTAAAACTACAAAACTGTTAGAAACATCATTGTAAATACTTGTGACCTTGGCTTGGGCAATGCTGTTCTTAAACATAACATGAGCAATAAGAGAACAGACGAATTGCACTTTGACAAGTTAAAATGTTTGCACCCCGAAGGCCATGCTCAGGACAGCGAGAACGCGGAAGAGCTGCGCACGCTCGCGGCTCACGGATCCCACAAGGGCCAGGAGTTCAGAGCTCAGTCCCACAGGAACACAAGCAGCTGCACGAGTGAAAGGACAGAGACTTGCCCAGACGTTCTGCGGCCAAACCGGGACAAGCGATGAGGACGGGAGGAGGCGCAGGGAGAGCATCGCCCAAGGAAACCCACGCAGACCACAGCGACCGCCACCGACAGATAACAGACCGGCGCTCACCTGGTGTAACGTAAAAATAAGTGTTGGTGAGAATATGGAGAAACAGAGATTCTCACGCAATGTGGGTGGAAATAGCTTGAAAGATGCTCAAAAAGGACTGAGCCTGGGGGGCTCAGTCGGGTAAGCGGCCAACTCTTGGTGTTGCCCCAGGTCATGATCTCAGGGTCTTGGGATCGAGCCCCGGTCAGGCTCCGCGCTCAGCAGGGAACCTGCTCAAGATTCTCCCCCTCCCGCCCCTTCCCTGCTGTCTGCTCATTCTCTCTAAAATGAATAAATAATCTTTAAAAAAATCACACAGGCAGCCCGGGGGGCTCAGCGGTTTAGCGCCGCCTTCAGCCCAGGGCTTGACCCCGGGGTCCCGGAATCGAGTCTCACGTCGGGCTCCCTGCATGGGGCCTGCTTCCCCCGCTGCCTGTGTCTCTGCCTCTCTCTCACGCTCTGCCTCTCATGAATAAGTAAATAAAATCTTCAAAAAAAAATCGCACATTAAGTTGTGACATGACCCAGTCATTCCTCAGAGCACCAAAAACGTGTCCGTATAAACCGCACTCAACTCTTCCCAACAGCATTACTCATAAGAGCCAAAAATTGGAAATACCCAAATGTCCATAAATTAATCAATATTGAATAAGGAGAGTACGTTACAATCGTACAGTACAACATTTATCCGCCATAAAAAGGAAGGAGTTCGGATTCATTGAGCTCGTCCATTTATGTGAAATGCCTGACAGAAGGGAAGCCGAACAGACGGGCGGCTTGAGGAAGTAGGGGCGAGGAAATGTGGTTTCTGCCTTGTGGGTACCTGTTTCTTTTGCTGAAAAGGAAACGCTCAGAGCAATAGGACTGTGACACCTACGACACCAAGACACATGAAAAGTCACAAATGCTGCACATTTTCCATGGGTAAAATGACGAGTTCTTCTGTTATGCAAATTTTATCTCATTAAAAAATTAAACCATATCACCTTTAAATTAAATAAATGCTAGTAAACGTTAGGCAAAACACATTCCTTGGCAAGACTAGAGCCCCTTTCCCTTTCCCTGTGCAGGTGAGGGGCGGCCACCTTAGTGCCACAGAGGGCGCTGCCCAAGTGAGCTCCTGCCCGAACCCACCTGAGTCGGCTCAGGGGCGGGGGTCACGGGGGAGAAAAACTACCCAAGCCAGGCACTCATGTTAGAGCGAGAGGCAAGCACGAACCCGGGAACCGGAAAGCAGAGCCGGGTTGCTGCCGCATGTCCTGCGGACCGAGTTTCCACCAGAAACCGCTGAGGCACCCGAGGGAAGACAGCCCACGCTCCGGAGGGAGCAGCCGCCAGGCACCAGCAAGAGTCCGACGTGGCCTGGACAACGGGAAAGGACCACAAAGAGCCAGGTCCAAGGCCGCGGAAGGGGCTTGGGGCCCAGGAAGCCGCGAGGCATCATCCCAACAGGCCGTGTCTACGCGGATGTGGAAGATCCAGCGCTGAGGAGGACGTCGCTGCAGTGGATCAAGTGGACACGAGGGTCTGCGGGAGACCCGGTGAGGGCCCCAGAGTCCTGAGCTCCCGGGACCACGCCCCGCGCCCCGCGGGGTACCAGGGACAGGACAGGGCCTGGCGCTCCCGGCTGGCAGGGACCCGGACCCGGTGCTGGGACATCTGCCCAGAGCGGGCTGTCCTCCGCGGCCTCAGGGGAGCCCAAGGCCACCAGCCGCGGGGGCCAGTGGGGCGTGGGGAGTGGTGTGGCAGGCAGGCCGCAGTCCTGATGGCTGGCACCCGATCCCCCACAGAGGGCCTGGGGGCTCAGGGCACCCCGGGACGTGGGCACTAGCTGAGCGCTGCGGGCGGCCCTGTGGGGCCAGGTCACCTCCCTGCAACCCCAGGACCGAGGGACAGCTGTGGTGACAGAGGGCGCAGCCCGGAGGGAAGACGCCCACAGGGGACAAAGAGCCCCTGCGAGGTGCCCAGGACGGCCGTGCCCCGCGTCGCCCACGGCGGCCCGCATGCCAGCAGCTGCGCGCCAGCGTGTCACCGCTGCGGAACACAGGCCCTGCGTCCACACAACAGGGTCTCCGGGGCCCCAGGGAGGAACGAAGCAGTCACAGACGCTAAGACGCCTGAGATGCGGCTGCAGCACACGAGCCCAGGGAGAATCCCAGATGCACAGAGAGCCCGCGGAGGGCAGCCCCAAGGGGCGCACGGGGACCCGCGATCGCCAGGCGCTGGGCACAGGCCCCGGGCGGTGACGGCGGACCTGGAGGGCACCCACGTCAGGTGCCACATGCACGTCCTGCACCTAAGCACCAGGCCCGCAGCTGCATGGCAGGAATGTGCCAGAGCCCCGGAGCCCCCCGCTGCCAGTGGGTGCAGCAGCACCTTGTGTGAGGCCGTTGACGGGACAATAGGTCAAGGCCAATAAGATATGAGTCAGGCAGACACAGTGAGTGACAGGCCTCAGCAGCCCGGCCCCGCCCCCGCCCACGAAGCCTGCACAGCACCAGGAAACCTGAGCGGTGGGGAAGCCCAACCTACCCAGGGGCCCTGCCCAGCTCCCGGCCACACCTGCTCGGGGCCACACGGCCACCTGCACTCTTCTTCCCCGGACACGCCTGCGCCTCCCCACGAGAGATGATGCAGAACAAGGTGGACGTGCGGGGGGCCCCCCTGAGCACGGCTCCTGCCACGACCACGGTGATCAATGTCCCGGTGGAGACGGTCGTGCCCGACCACGTCGTCTGGTCCCTGTTCAACACCATCTTCCTGAACTGGTTCTGCCTGGGCTTCGTGGCCTTCGTCTACTCCGTGAAGGTGGGTGGGTGCGGGCCGGGGCCTCCCCCCAGGGTGCCAACCTTGGGGACCCCCGCCCAGAGGGCGCTGTGGGGGAGCCCACGTGAGTGTGGGGGTGCGTGGCCCATGTGACCGGCCCCAGGGAGGTGCGGGGAGGCCACACGTGGTGGCAGCGGAGGGCAAGGTCCCCAGTGCCCACCATCCCCAGAAGCTCTCCTCCCCCCTAGAGCCTCCGCACGTCAGATTTGGAGCCCGAGTCTGGGCCAGAGGAAGCCACGGCCCTGAACACTGCTCAGCCTGACGGGGCGAGTGGCCAGGGAGGGGCCCAGAGCCGGGCAGGGGCGACCCCGGGGTGTCCAGGGGGACTGAGAGCCGAGGAAGGACGTGGAGGCCCCAGGAGGGACAGGCCCCGGGGCCCCGACCTGCTCAGGCTCCAGGGAGGGGGACGGGGTCCCGGGTCGGGTGAAGGGCAGGGCCCGCCAGGGCGCCCCTGAGTCCCTGGTCTGGGAGGACCCACCCCTCACCCCATGTCCACGTGTCGTCCTCAGGCCAGGGACCGGAAGATGGTGGGCGACCTGACCGGGGCGCAGAGCTTCGCCTCCACAGCCAGGTGCCTCAACATCTGGGCGCTGGTCCTGGGACTCCTCCTGACCATCATATCCATTGTCCTCCTGGGCATGGCCTACGCCGCGGCCTACGGGGCCCTGTTACAGGCCATGCAGCAGAACGGCCGCTACCACTAGGAGCCCCCGCAGGACGCCCCGGGCCCCTCCTCGCCCGCCGGCCGCGCCCCAGCCCCCAGCCCTCTACTCCAGGTGCACAGACCGGCCTGTGTGCAGCCGACTTCAATAAAGTGCCCTGTGTGTGACGTGCTGTGACCTCCCTCCCGGGTTGGGGGGGTGTGCGGGGAGGCCCTGGCGCCCTGGGCCTCAGCACACCGGCCCCCTGCCCAGTGTGGGGCTCCGGGGGCAGGCACGTCCTCGGGCTGGGCTGGCTGCTGGCGGCCTGCTAGGAGCAAGGCCTGGCCGGGGTCCTGGGGGGTCCCCGACCCAAGGAAGCCACGAGTCCAGCACAGCCTGGGTCCGAGGGTGAGGCTCCGCCTCCCAGGTGTGTGGGAGCCAGGGGGCCGGGCTGGGGGGGCACAGAGCTCTCCCCTGTGCGCTGACAGCAGAAGTGACAATCACACCCCGCGACTAAGCCCGTGGTCAGGAAGCCTGAGAGGAGGGACCCGTCCCCCCACCGTGGCTCAGCCCGCAGGATGCAGTGGCTGCCTAAGGGCCCCGCCAAGGGTCTCCTGGCCACTGGGGGTCATGGGGCTTGGGTGTGAGCTGGGGCCAGAGCCTGGGTCACACGTGGGGCGTGGGCGTGGGGTGTGGGGCGTAGGGTGTGGGGCCGTCCTGGGCTCCTCTCCCCGGGCAAGGGGACTTGGCCCAGGCAGTGGTATGGGAGGCCCCAGAGGGGGTGGGTGCTGGGCCCGGTCTACACGGCAACCTGCAGAGGCTGCGGGAGTGCAGGGGCCACAGGCCGATGTCCGATGTCCGGGTGGGACCCTGTCGGGCGCCTCGCCTGGGGCGTCCAGGCTGCCAGGTCCACAGTGGGGCAGCCCTGGCCCGGCTCCCTCCGTCAGCAGCCTCCAGCTCCCCCACTGCCTCCCATCCCCTCCTTGGAAGGCAAGTCCCAATGTCCTCAGAGGCGCCCAGGTCACAGGCCAGCACCGGCAGTCACCCTGCCCCCTGCCTGCCGACCGGTGACCTGGGGCCGCCTGCTGATTTCCTGGGTGCTCCAGCTCCCTGCATGCTCGGGGCCAGGGCTCCCCCCTGGGCCCCACTCTCTCTCTCCCTGTGCTCCCCCGGCCCGACCCCCTTCCACCTGTCCCTGGGCCTCCAACCCGCACCTGACAACCTGACACCTTGTGCTGAGGCTACGCCTGTGCTGTGTGATTCCCCAGTCTCCTATTTTACAAGTTTTCCAATGTTTGCTGGAAGCTCCAGCAGAGGCTCCTTGGGATCAGGGAGCACCCGCAGGCGGCCTGTCTACACCCTTTTTAGTAATAAGCCGAGACCGGCGGGGGGCAGGTCAAGGGTGCGGGGATTGGGAGGCGGGGGCACAGGCCTGGGGACCCTCTGCACACCCCTGAACAGGGAGGGAGCCAGGACCGCCTGTCCTCAGCCCGCCCAGCCCGGCCCCCTGTAACCTGACACCGGGCTCTGGGGCCACCCTCCTGGTACCTGGCCAGTTCACCACTTTCAGAAAAGCCAGGAAACAGAAACTTTGGGGAAAGGAACCCCTGGGGAAGGTGGGGCCCTGAGCTGCCTCCCGCGTCCGCACCCTGCGAGCTGCACCTGCCACCATGAGCCGCTCCCCTCGGCCCTTGCTCCCTGGCGCCTGCGCCGCCGGCCCCCCCACATACGAGATGCTCAAGGAGGAGCAGGAGGTGGTGGTCGTCCGGGCGCCCCAGAGCACGGCTCCCGCGACCACCACCGTGATCAACATCCACGGTGACACGGTCGTGCCCGACCACGTCGTCTGGTCCCTGTTCAACACCGTCTTCATGAACTGGTGCTGCCTGGGCTTCCTGGCCTTCGCCTACTCTGTGAAGGTGGGTGGGGGTGGGAGGGGGAGTCCCCGGGGTATGGGGCGGGGGCGGGAGCGCCTGTACCTGCAGGGAGGCTGCAGCAGTCCTGCGCCCAGGGTCCCACGAGTTCCCCTACTGACCGATGCTAGAAACCACATCCCTGGGCTGCGCGTGTGGCCCCAAAGCCCCCCCAGGAAGAAGAAAGGACTTTGGGGGAAACTGAGGCCAGGGAGAGGCCAGAGCCGGGCAGGGGTGACCCCGGGGTGTCCAGGGGGGCCGAGAGCCGAGGAAGGACGTGGAGGCCCCAGGAGGGACAGGCTCCGGGGCCCCGACCTGCTCAGGCTCCAGGGAGGGGGATGGGGTCCCGGGTCGGGTGAAGGGCAGGGCCCGCCAGGGCGCCCCTGAGTCCCTGGTCTGGGAGGACCCGCCCCTCACCCCATGTCCACCTGTCGTCCTCAGGCCAGGGACCGGAAGATGGTGGGCGACCTGACCGGGGCGCAGAGCTTCGCCTCCACAGCCAGGTGCCTCAACATCTGGGCGCTGGTCCTGGGCCTCCTCCTGACTGTCACCTTCGTCATTCTTGTGTCAACCGGCTCCCTGATGATTTTCGAAACAGTTTCCGAGATGGTAAAACATGACCATGACGGAGGGTCGTAGTCGGCGCCGGAGGCCTCGGCGGCCGCTCCGGTCACACTGTCACCTTCAGGTCCCTCTAGCGCTGGTGTCAATAAAGCACCTGCCTGTGACCTGCTGCGCTCTCGCTGGGGGGCCCTTGGAGACGCCTGCGGCCCCGCTGCCCGGCCGCAGCCCCGCTGCCCGCCCTCGGCCCGTCGCCCGCCTGCACCTGCTCCAGTGCGTGCGCCGGGTGGGCTCGTCGGGGCCTGGCCTGCATCTGGCCTCCGGCTGCGGGGACACAGGAGGGCGGCGTGGGAGGGGTCCCTGCTTCCCAGAGGTCTGCGCCCTGACCGATGGCTCGTGTGGGGAAGAGCGGCAGTAGATTCAGGCTGTTCCTAGCTCCCAGGGACCCCGTGGCGGGGAAGGTGGCGGGACACCCGCTGCCGGGAGCACGGCCTCTACATCCGGCACTATAAGGTCCGTGTCCCTGCTCTCGAGTCAGGGTGTACCCTTGCCCCGAGTGGGGTCACATCATCACCTCCTCGTGTCGTGGCCTCCGTATCGGGGACACCGTGGCTGCCCCAAGGCAGACCCCGAGCACTGGGGTCCCGGCTGCGGTTCCCCAGTCCCGCGTCCCTACCCCGCACCTGGTGCCCTAACTCGCAGATGCACGGGGGAGACCTGGGGTACCCTGGGTGGAGGGGGGCACGCTGGCCCATCAGCCGTCCAGTCGGTGAAGGAGGAGATCCCGACCCCAAGAGGCCAGTGGGGTGAGACCCCAGCCGGGTGGGCAGGGCAGCCCCACCTACCCGGATCCGCGGCACCTGATGGATCCCCTGCTGCCGAGGAGCGTGTCCTTCCTCCCTTCCCCGCCCCCACTCTGGGCCGCCCTCGGTGTCTCGGGGCGGACGCCTGTCCGTCTTCCTCCCGGGACCGCTGCCCCCTTGGCTGGAAGAGACTGTTCCCTCCAGAGCGCCCTTGGGAGGTGCTGCAATGCCTCCGAGGCTCATCCGCGGCCTCACCCCGCCGCCCACTCTGTGGCCCGGGCACCCGGCGGCCCCGGAGCGCGTGGCCTCGAGGAAGCACCCAGGGGTGGAGCCTCTCCGCCCCGCGCTCCGCAGCTGGCACCTGCCCATGGGCCGCCCTGGCCTGCGGGAGGCCTCAGCTCTGTCCTCCGGTTTGCAAAAGCTTCACCTCAAAGGGCTTTGTTGGCGGCACGAGAGGGTCGCCCCCCAGCAGGACCGTGCTCCTGGCACTGCAGCTCAGGGACGGTTACGCCCGCTGTGACCATCCTCCCGAGAGCTGCGAGAACGTGACTGTGCCTGCCCCTCAGGCCGGGGCCCGTGCCCGCGGCAATGCCCCACCCGCGACCGGGCCACCCCCGGCACCGGGAACCCTAAGGGCGAGGTTCTGAACCCCTGGCTTGGGGACCTCAGCCAGCGTGGGGACAGTGCTGTGCCTGGAACAGCCGTGGACGTCTCCCCACCCCCGCCCTGGCATCTCTTCCATCTGGCTGCTCCGGACCCGCGTCCTTGCATGAGGCGCTGGGGACGCGGGAAGGAGACCGTCTCCCGACTCCGTGGGCCACTCTCGCGAATCTGTACAACCAAGAGGTCACGGAGGGCTCCGGGGGGCCCACGTGGTCAGAGCACAGGTGCGGCCCCGGCTGGTGACGAGGGTCCAGGGACAGTTGGTAAAAATGAACCCTGGACCGTGCGACCCACTGACCCTTGGGCAGAAGGGCTGGGAATGGAGGCGATGCTGATGCCCTGCGGGGTCTGACGCTGCTTAGTGCGTGCGGCCCGTCCTCCCCGCACGTTGGAACTGGGTTAAACTAAGGTTAAAGCTGCCGGTTATTTGACCGCCAAATGGGTTTAATTGGGAAGAGTAGAAAATTACAATTCTAGAAAGGCAAACGATGGCAAAACTGTACAAAAATCCCAAAACAGAGGAACAAAGATCTTTCATAGATTGGGGGGGAGGGAGGGGCTGCTGTAAAGGAGAAGTCCATTGGAGTGACCTGGGGCCTGGGGGTCCTGGCTTCCCACTGGTTAGGCTGTCACTGTGGGGGGGGCTGTGCTCCCCCTGGCCGGCTGTGACCCCCCGATGGGCTCTGCTCCACCTGCAGGGGCTGTGCCCCCCTGGATGGGAGAGGGTTGTCACTCATGGTGGGCGATGCAGCTCGTGGGGGGTAGACGGGGGAGGCAGCTCTGGGTCCCACCTTCCCCAGTGGTTTCCTTTTCTCTGAAAATTCATTTTTTGGTGCTCAGGGAATTGGGAATTGGCTGGGTCCAGGAGGGCGTAAAGCAGAACCAAAGATTCTGTCAGGCTACACAGGTGCTGGGCAGGTGCTGGCGGGTGCTGGCGGGTCAAGGGCTGAGGTCTCTGGGGGGTTCCCTATCCCAGGCTCTCAATCAGCTGCTGTCCCCGCTGCCCCACCTCCTCATCCAGGGCTCAGGGTGGTCCCAGGACCTCTTGTGGCCTGTGAGGCTCCCCCCTTGCCCCCACCCAGACTCCAGGTGCTGCAGGGCCCCCACCGTGCACAGCAGGCCCCTCAGGCCCCACACAGAGAGCCCCCAGGCCCCCAGCCCGCATCCCAGGGGTCGCAGGCCTCCTGTCTGGAATCTGTTCCCCTTCCTGCCCTGGAGTCCGTGGTGGGGAGGGGGTGCGGTGTTGTGCGTGCCCAGGTCAGGACCCAGCAGGCGGAAGGGGCGTCTGGCTTGTGTCAAGGGTCCATGTGGCAGCCCCGGGAGCACAGGCCTTCGAGGTCACGCACCCCTGCCTTCCCTCCCCGCCCCCCCACCTGCTCTGTGGACGTCAGGTGGTGGTGACGGAGGAAGTGGGGACTTTCCTCTTCTGCTTCCGGCCTGCGCCCCCTTCTCAGGGGTCGGTCGGCTCAGCTCGGGAGCCAGGACATGGCCCCGCCCGAGAGCCAAGGCTGCAGGTCCTCTGCTACCCGCAGTCCTGGGCCGCTGGGAGCTCTTGCCGCAGCCTGGGGGCCAGTGGGCTCCACACCCCAGTCCAGTCTGGCGTTTCCCAGTTCACTGTGCAGCACCCCCAGGGCGCCCCCAGTTGCTTCCTGCCCTCCGCCCCCCTCGCCCCCCCACCCTGCAGGTGTCCTGTGAAACCCCGCTGTGGTCCTGGTGTTGTGGCCGCACACCGACCCCGAAGGTGTCCTGACAGACCCAGCATCGGCCCCGGGGAGTGGACCTGGCCCTGGTGCCCGGTTCGGGGGGAGGTCAGGGAGGGCCGGGTGGACCCCCGATGGCCCCGGGGCTGCTGCCGCCCCAGGTCGTCCATGCTACACCGGCCAGTGGTGTGGAGTGGGCTACACGGCTGCTGGGGTGAGGGCGAGGCCCAGGGGCTCCCAGGCGCTGCCCCCCCCCCCGCGGCGGCTCAGTGGGTGTCCCCTTGCGGCTGGGCCGGGGTTGCAGCCACCCAAGGCCCCGCCGAGGGACGCGTTGTGGGATCTGTGCGCTGGCATGTTCTCGGGGTCCTGGCACCGTGACCGAGCTCTGAGCTGACCAAACTGCCTGTAAGAGGATGCGCAGTGCTGCATGAAGCCCCCGGGTCCTGCCTGGGTCTTGTCCCAAATGTGACGTGTGTGCGGACGGTCGCCTGTGTCCTCAGGCCTCCATCAGCCCCAACCCCCTGGCGCCCTGGCACTGCTCCGGGTGCATCCCTTAGCTTCCAACTCCCCCTCTTGGAGCTCGCAGCCTGCGCCCCGGGACCTTCAAGGCCCTGTGGGCCCAGGGGTGCAAGTACAGGCGTGCCCAGCTCTCTGCCTCACACTCCTCCGCCCCCAACAAGCAGACTCGCAATTCTTCCTTTCCTGTCCTCCGTATCCAGGGGGTCCCTGCCATGCAGACAGGAGCAGAGGGACAGTGTGGGACAGCGGGGGTGGAGGACGTGGGCAGCACACACTGCCTGCTTGATCTCCATCCTCTAGAGTGTTAGGACCGGGCCCTCTCCAAGCTCCAACTTGGTGCGTGTGACACAACCTCACTCGTGGTGGGCAGGGCTGCCGGACATCCCCTGGGAGCCCACGTGCATCTCGAGACAGGAGGAAAGGACTTGGGCAGACCGCTGTGCGCACCCTCCGGCCCAGGCCGGCTGGGTCTGCAGCTCCACGCGGCCTTCCGGGGCCCACCTGGGTCGGGGTCTGGCTGGCGGGTGGGGCCAGCGTCCTGTGCCCAGTTACTGGAGGATAGACTGGTTGCTGTTCCTCTTCCCAGGGTAACACACTGGTCTCAAGCCCCCTCCTGCTGGCCGTGGGCAGTGGAGACTGACTGCACAGGTGGCTGCTGGGCCTGCCCCGCCAGCCAGTCTGCTCGCGTCACGGGTGAGAAGGCTGAGACCTGCCTCCCGGCGCCCCTCACCCCAGCCACAGAGTGGGGTGCCCACCGACGTCCTGCCTGCCGGAGCCTCCTGTGGGGTTTCCAGCTTTACCTGCTGTGTTCTCGGGTTCAGGACGGAAAAAGCCCTGGCAGGACGGCAGGTGGCGAGCCCGTCACTGCGGGAGGCTCGGGCACCGGGCGTGAGGCGCCACAGTCGGGGTAGAGAGCGGACAAGTGGAGGCCGGACACCAGGGCCGGGTGGGACGGCGGTGGGAGGTGGCCAGAGCCAAGGGCTGCTCCTCAGAGCTGCTGTCCAGGGAGGGAGGAGCCGCCCCAGGCAGCCACCCGGACCCACCCAGACCAGCCTGGCAGCGCCCAGAGCACGTCCCTCCTCCTCCCCACCAGGCGGGAGGCGCACTGCTGGGCTCCCCGGCATTGGTCCCGCAGGATCCCGGGCAGCCTGCAGCCCAAGGCCCTGTACCACGGAGGTTGACACAGGGGGGTGGGCCTTGCCAGGTCCCTCCTCCGGGTGCTGAAGGGAGCACAGAACCAGGCCTGGAGGCTGCTGAGGGAGGGAGCCGGGCCGGGGCTGCCCCACTGTGGACCTGGCAGTCTGGACGACCCAGGCGAGGCGCCCGACAGAATCCCACCCGGACACCCGCCTGGCCCCCACACTCCCGCAGCCTCTGCAGGTTGCCGTGTAGACCGGGCCCAGCACCCACCCCCTCTGGGGCCTCCCACACCACTGCCTGGGCCAAGTCCCCCTGCCCGGGGAGAGGAGCCGAGGACGGCCCCACACCCCACGCCCCACTCCCCACGCCCACGCCCCACGTGTGGCCCAGCTCTGGCCCCAGCTCACACCCAAGCCCCATGACCCCCAGCGGCCAGGAGACCCTTGGCGGGGCCCTGGGCAGCCACTGCATCCTGTGGGCCGGGCCACGGTGGGGGGACGGGTCACTCCTCTCAGGCTTCCTGTCCGCGGGCTTAGTCCCGGGTTATGATTGTCGCTTCTGCTGTCAGCGCACAGGGGAGAGCTCTGTGCCCCCCCAGCCCGGCCCCCTGGCTCCCACACACCTGGAAGGTGGAGCCTCACCCTCGGGACCCAGGCTGTGCTGGACTCGTGGCTTCCTTGGGTCGGGGACTCCCCAGGACCCCGGCCAGGCCTTGCTCCTAGCAGGCGGCCAGCAGCCAGCCCAGCCCAAGGATGTGCCCGCCCCCCGGAGCCCCACACTGGGCAGGGGGCCGGTGTGCTCAGGCCCAGGGCGCCAGGGCCTCCCCGCACACCCCCCCACCCCGGGAGGGAGGTCACAGCACGTCACACACAGGGCACTTTATTGAAGTCGGCTGCACACAGGCCGGTCTGTGCACCTGGAGCAGAGGGCTGGGGGCTGGGGCGCGGCTGGCGGGCGAGGAGGGGACCGGGGCGTCCTGCTAGGGCGCCTAGTGGTAGCGACGCCTCTCCTGCATGGCCTGTAACAGGGCCCCAGAGACCATGGTGTAGGCCATGCCCAGGAGGACAATGGATATGATGCCCAGGATGATGCCCACGACCAAAGCCGAGATGTTGAAGCACCTGGCAGTGGAGGCGAAGCTCTGCGCCCCGGTCAGGTCGCCCACCATCTTCCGGTCCCTGGCCTGGGGACGACACGCGGACAGTGGGGTGAGGGGTGGGTCCTCCCAGACCAGGAACTCAGGGGCGCCCTGGCGGGCCCTGCCCTTCACCCTCACCCGGGACCCCGTCCCCCTCCCTGGAGCCTGAGCAGGTCCGGGTCCCAGGGGCCTGTCCCTCCTGGGGCCTCCACGTCCTTCCTCGGCCCTCAGCCCCCCTGGACACCCCGGGGTCACCCCTGCCCGGCTCTGGCCCCTCCCTGGCCTCAGTTTCCCCCGAGGTCCTTTCTTCTTCCTGGGGGAGCTTTGGGGCCACACGCGCAGCCCAGGTGTGTGGTTTCTAGTATCGGTCAGTAGGGGAACCCGTGGGACCCTGGGCGCAGGGTACAGGCGCCCCCGCCCCCGCCCCACACGCCAGGGACTCCCCCTCCCACCTCCACCCACCTTCACTGAGTAGGCGAAGGCCACGAAGCCCAGGCAGCACCAGTTCATGAAGACGGTGTTGAACAGGGACCAGACGATGTGGTCGGGCACGACCGTGTCACCGCGGATGTTGATCACGGTGGTCGTCATGGGAACCATGCTCTGGGGGGCTCCAGTTTCAGGAACCTGGTACTGGTCTTGGTCCATGTTTGAGTTTTGGGGATGTGTTTGTGTGTGGTTGCCAGGCAAGAGGAGCTGGGAAGTGCTGCTAGGGGGCCAGAGCCTTGACCATTGTAGGGTGAAGCCTGGGTGCAGGAGGTGGGCCCTGGAAGAGCTCGGCCCCACCTTCTGGTCCCCTGTCCCCATCTCAGCTTCCTTCTGCTTTCTCAGAAATTCCTCTTTCCTACTGTTTTGTAACTGGGTGACTGGGCTGGCAGGAGGTAGACCTAAGGACTCACTGTCAGCATACACCTGTGCTTGGCGGGTGCCTGGCGGGTGCTGGTGGGTGCTGGGTGGGTGCTGGGCTGGTGTTGGGCAGGTGCTGGCAGGTGCTGGATGGGTGCTTGCAGGTGCTCACGGGTCAAGGGCTGAGACCTCTGGGGGGTTCCCTGTCCCAGGCTCTCAATCAGGTGCTGTCCCTGCTGCCCCACCTCATCCAGGGCTCAGGGTGGCCCCAGGACCTCTCGTGGCCTGTGAGGCTCCCCCCTCGCCCCCACCCAGACTCCAGGTGCTGCAGGGCCCCCACCGCACACAGCAGGCCCCTCAGGCCCCACACAGAGAGCACCCAGGTCCCCAGGCCGCATCCCAGGGGTCGCAGGCCTCCTGTCTGGAATCTGTTCCCCTTCCTGCCCTGGAGTCCGTGGTGGGGAGGGGGTGGGGTGAGGGGGTGGGGTGTTGTGTGTGCCCAGGTCAGGACCCACCAGGCGGAAGGGGCGTCTGGCTTGTGTCAAGGGTCCATGTGGCGGCCCCGGTGGCACAGGCCAGCAAGGTCACGCACCCCGCCCCCATCGCATCAGGGGAAGTGTTGGGGAAACACACAGGGGTGGCTCTCGGAAGGGGCTTGCCCCACTCCCGGCCCTTCCTGAACTTACAATGTTTCCTCTTCCTCAACAATCCCCTCCTCCCCCGGCAAGATGGGTCAGCAGAGCAAGAGAAAGTTCTTGCTTGCGGTGAGGCCGACGCTGTGTCACCGCCATGACCACTGCACCAGCCCCTTCACCGCAAGGAGCTGGGACGGAGGCCTGGCCCTGCTCCAGCCGGTGGTGTTCAATGGCAGCATCCCTCCAGGTCCCCTGCTCCCCTCCTGGCCCGGGTCAGGATCCGTCAGGACACCCCAGGCGCTTCCAGGACCCCGGTGACTCCTCCCTGTCCTGCTGTGCGGCCCTGCCCTCCTCACCGCCCCTGCCCCTCAGTGTCCTCCGGGTGGGTTCCTAGTCCCCTGGGACTTCCCGGCTGGCTGGGTCCGTGGCCTCCCCATGGCCACGCGTGAGTCCCAAAGGAGAAGAGCAGTAAGTGTAAAACACCCGTAGTTTTGAAGACTTGATGAGAAAAAAAAAAAATTGGTAAGGTGTAATGTATTTCATTGATGATATTTTTTACTGTTTTTTTTTTTTTTTGAGATACATTTTGGATTTTGGCTCAAATAAAATAGATCATTAAACTAAGTCTTACTCATTTCCTTTTGCTTTTTTTTTTTTTTAATGTGATTGATTGGTGAGAGACACAGAGAGACAGAGAGAGGCAGAGACCCAGGCAGAGGGAGAAGCAGGCCCCCCGCAGGGAGCCGATGCGGGACTCAATCCCGGGACCCCGGGACCCCCACGTGCCTTCCCAGCGGAATTCCACAGGCGCGAGCCCTTCCCGGCACTTCTGTCGGCCGCTGCCTGAGACACCCGGGTCCGGGTCCGGGGTATTGGGGGCACCCCGTTGGCCGCTGCTCACTGTGACATTCAACGCACACTCAGCAGAGTGCATTAGCGGAGGCCTGACGAGCCCCGAGGGTGCAGGAGCCTGGGAAGATACCACCTGCCCCCCAGCACCCGCCCTCCCTGGACTTTCCGGGGGCCCGTCCTTGCCTCTCCTCCAAGTGCCAAGCCCCCTACGCCCCAAGTGTAGGTCACATGGAGGCTCGGTGAGCTCAGGCCTGCCCTGGACACCGCAGCTCGATTCCGCCTGCTTGAGCTGACTTCCTCTGTAGGAAGGCCCTGGTCCCTTCGCTCGGGGTCCCGTTGGGAGCCTCGCCCCCGTGGGGCCGCCCGCTCGTGCTCGTTTCCCTGCTGCGCTGCCCGCACCCACGCGGTTCCTCTGTGCCCTGCCCCCTGGGCCTTGCCCCCGCCTGCAGGCACCTCTCCTGCCTGTGGATCTCCGTTTCTGCTGGGTGCGCGCTGGGTCACGGGGACGGGCCTTTGGAGTGGAGGTGGGGCCCCTAGCCCACGGCCAGGGAAGAATTCGTGAGACGTCTCGGGTGCAAAACGGTGGTCGTGCTAAAGTACCGGGACAGGGGCCATGGGCCGAGAGGGCTGCCCTGGGTCCTGAGGGAACACTGGTCACATACGTGTGGGGTGGGGGAGGCGAGGACACGGGGGCATCAGAAGGACCTTCGTGTGCTGCAGACGACTCTCGGGATCCCGGAAGCCCGGCTACTGTCGAGCTAACAGGCCTGTCCCTCTGCGAACGAGAAGGCCTCCGGGGCGGAGGGGATGGCACAGCTGCAGGAAGTGGAGACTAGGGGTCTCTGCAATTGGGCAGTTGACCCCAGGGACACGAGTTCCCGCAATCTCATGGGCCGGGCCAGGCTGCAGGGACATGCACGCTCGCTGCTCCCACAGCAGCACGCAGGGCCCCCAAAGCCTCTCTCCCAGCAGCTTCCCTGTGCGGGTCCCCGTGTTGCTGGAGAACGAGAGTCCCCGGCCGTGGGCGACAGGCGGGCTCGGCAGGGAGGGGCCGGCAGGGGCCCCAGAGCTCAGGGAGCACCCCAGACCTCCCCATGACCACCACGACCACCACGGTGCCCGGACCCCAACGAGGAGGGAAGCCGGTAGGATGTCCTCGCCCAAACCAGGACAGCACGAGGATGATGATGTCACAAGCTCCCGGGCCAGGTCTAAGGAAGAGACTGTCGGGGGACCCCTGTCGCCCCGAGAGCTCTGGCTCCTGCTCCATACACTGCCATCGCTCTGCTCACTCCACCTTGTCCCCAAGATTCCTTCTTTGGCTTCATGAGCCCAGCGCTCCCGCCTCAAGGCCTCTGACAAGCCTCCGTGGCCTCCGTCACTGCGGCCTCCGTCACTGCGGTCAGCTACGGGGAGCGGGGGGTCAGCTACAGGGGGATTGGGGTCAGCTATGGGGGGCAGGGGTTCAGCTACAGGGGGATGGGGGTCAGCTATGGGGGCGGGGGTCAGCTACAGGGGGCGGGGGGTTAGCTACGGGGGGCAGGGGTCAGCTATGGGGGGCGGGGGGTCAGCTACGGGGGATGGGGTTCATCTACAGGGTGATGGGGTCAGCTATGGGGGGCGGGGGGTCAGCTATGGGGGGCGGGGGGTCAGCTATGGGGGGATGGGGGTCAGCTACGGGGGACGGGGGGTCAGCTACAAGGGGCAGGGGTTCAGCTATGGGGGGTGGGGGGTCAGCTACAGGGGGTGGGGGGTCAGCTACGGGGTGAGACCATCAGCTATAGGGGGTAGGGGGTCAGCTACTGGGGTGCAGTCAGCTACAGGGAGGTGGGGGGGTCAGCTATGGGGGAGGGGCAGTCAGCTACAGGGGGAGACCGTGAGCTATGGGGGGGTCAGCTACAGGAGAAGGTGACAACTCCTCTGTCACTCAGGGTTTGTACTGTTTAGGAGGCTCTTCGCCCATCACGTGCTTGAACTCACAACCTTTGGCCCAGGGGTCATGCGCTCTTGGGAGCCCGCCACATGCCCCATGTCCTGATGCCACGCGGGGGTCCCCCGAGGCCTAAGTCCCGACTGGCCTCCGTGTCCCACTGATCGGTGTGCAGGAGGCAGGGGCCAGGCCCTGGTCCAGCCCTTGCTGGGGGAGGGCGCTGGGGCCCCGCGGCTTCCGTGCAGGACTGTGCGCCCGTGAACCTCCTGCGGCATCCCCGCTTCGGCTGATGTTCATTATCGTGTCTTTTCCCGTCTTCACCTGAGAGCCCGGGGAGTCCACGCTCCTCCTAACCTCTTACCGGTTGCTTCATATATTACGACACAACTCTGGTTTCTGAAGACCTGAGGCCAGTAGGTGCTTCCACCCCCTTGACACATGAGGACACCGAGGACCCCGGAATGACAGCGACCTCCCTCCTGATTACGCATCGTTGCTGTGCTCTTTGAAATCTCCTAACACACCGGGTTGTGTCACCGTTCGGTGTGGCTGATACTCACTTCCTACTGACCACACGCAGCGGTGCTCACCTTCCGTCCCCGCCGCTGCTGCATCCACACTGCCGACCCCCGAGCCGCCAGCTTGCCTGACGCTGACCCAAGCCCCTCGGTTTCCGTTTCCCCGGAAATATCTTCGCTTTGCCTTCTTTTTTTTTTTTTAATTTATTTTATTTATCTGACATAGAGCGAGAGCATGCACGGCGGGGGCAGAGGGGGGACGCAGGCTGCCTGCAGGGAGCCCGGTGCGCCCCGTCCCGACCTGGGGTCACGCCCTGGGCCCACACTCCACCACCGAGCCGCGGGTGCCCCGCTGTCTGTCTTGAATATTTCCACTTGGTAGAGGTTTAGGTCGGCACCGAAGACACTGGCCCACGGACTTCTCAGCTGCAACGTTAACTTTTACCCCTTACTAGAAAACCTGGCTTATTGTAATCAGGCTGCTTATGATTTTGTCTGTCTTTGGTGTTCCGCAGTTTCCCTCCAACGCGCTGAGTGGCGTCATTTCTATTTATCCTACTACAGACTTCTGGGTTTCTTAAATCCGGGGCTGAAAGTCTTCTAACCGTTTTTGGAAAGTTCTCACCCATTAAGTATCGAAATAATGATCCCCCCACCCCCACCCCGTTCTTCATTCTTCTCATCCTGGAACTCGGATTAACACAACGTGGGTCGCTCTCTCTGTCCTCGGTGTCTCCCACGCACCGTGTCTATGGCCCCGTCTGGACTGTCCCTTCCTCTGTCCCCTCGAGGCGATGCCCTGGAACCGCAGCATCCACCCCAACAAGCTCCCAGGGCCTGGCATCACCCGAGCTCGGCAAACCCACCCATGAGTTCTTCATTCTGGTTACTGTACCTTCTGATTCTAGAACTTCTAGTTAGTTCTTGTCCACGTTTGCAAT